TTGCAGTCGAAGAACACTTTTTATTTTGAAATTTCTTGCTGTAGGACTAATGTAAAAATTAAATTTCGTAACTTAGTGTATGTAGATAAAAGGATTTATATAGCATCTAGAAATAATACGAAATTTTTTGGATTGAAAAGGCGACGATCAGTTTAGAATCAACAAGTTAAAAAGTAATTGAACATAATATCCATTTGGAAATACAATTCCATATAATTTTCGAAGTTAAGATGTCGAACAAATCATAAAATGCTGTCGGGCTGGTACATTTATAAAGACTTACCCGTTTTTGCCTTGCGTCCTCTAGCGGTGCAAGTAGTAGCAGGTCCAATTAGTAAACTGAAAGATCTATGATTCGAATTTCAGTCTTTAAAAGAGGAGAATATATGGAATTAACAGCACGTCCAGCTGAATAAGTTTGAAAATTGCTGATTGTGTTCAAGGCCTCATCAATGGCCGAACAGTTAAGACCTCTGAAGCTGAATCCTGGCAGTTCGGCCTGGTTTGAGTTCGACTTTAGGTGAACAGGCTGACTGCATGGTTGGTTTTCGTGGTTTTCCTCATGCGTAATACGCTAGCTTTCTTCAGAATATCCTCCACGAAGGCATAGGTCCTCTTAGGTAGATAGTCTTCATAGCTTTCCCGTATTTAAAAAAACCGAACAGGCCATGACTGTGAGCCTGCCGAGTGCTTTGTTAAGTTTACCTGTTTCATGACTTTAAGCACCCAATGGATTCTATATATTATTATTATCAATGAATTCCTATCAGGAAGTTATCCAAAAATGTATTAACAGCACATATTTTTTGAAGATATTTTTCTTTCTGAGAAAGTACTCAGTAAAAAGACGGATTTCGAATTTGAAATTTTTATCATATTCGGTTAGTAAATTAATTGAATATAATGTTATTAATGTTACTACTTAGTTATCTATGCTTTCATTGGAAACTCTTTAAGGACATATTATAAAGGTAAAAATTATTTTTGTTCTTTTTTTAAGTTCCTCTATGCATTATAATATTAACAAATAAAGCAATATTTGCGTTATTGCTGCCTTACAGTACTTATAATATACAATAAAATAAGCACTGTAACACAGCAACACGATTAAATGCCTTCTTACATAACAACCCCAATTAAACTACTAACTAAAAACAGCAAATGAATTTCCCAAAATGTAGACTTTTCTAGTATGTTGTAACGTAAGCTTTAAAATATTTTGGAAGAGCTAGTCAGAAATTATGTGAAAGGAAGTGACTACAGTTTTCATATTTACAAACTTTCGTGTAATGTGTCAATTTATTTAAAGCCATTTTAACATGTAATTACAGCTAAATATTGTTTCAATTTAAAAATAATGACTGAAAGCATTCACAATGCTCGAACACAGCATATTTAAAACAGTACAAGACTTTGCTAAGAACCTTTGTTAGGAGGAAGCAACTGATTGAAAGCATGTGTTCAAATTAACACATCTGCCATTTATGTTGTGAGAAAAGGTACGTCTTTTGTATGCGTATGCTTAAAAACTGGTTTTTCCGTTCCGTAAGTAAAGCAATCCCCCAGGCGTGTAATTACTCTTTTGCGACAAATCTGAACTACTGCAGTTCTTCAAAACCGCGAACTGAATGTACCTGCGATTACTTTACCGAATGATCAAAGCCATCCGTTGTTGTGAACCATTTTAAGCTTTCCTTTAGAAGAAAAACTTGTACATGTAACCTTCTGTATTTCCTTTAGAAATACAGAAGGTTACATGTACAGGTTTTTTACACATCTACAGATATTCTTTTTTAATCACTGTCATTTAACATAAATGTAAAATCAATCAATATTTAGTCATTCCTTCGTATAGCATGTCAAAACAAACTTCTCTTAAGTCATGTGTTCATGATTGAAGTTGCTATGTGTATTTCTTTAATTTATGCTACGGAAGGACATCACGGCGATCATCTGCGTATGTGAAAATAAAATTGCGTAAAATACTTGATCTCTAATACAAGAGATTAAATTTTAAAAGTCAGTGTTTTGTCTAAAATTAATGATCTCTTACAAAATCTTTTCCATAATATGTGACGATTTTCTCTAGAGGGACAAGCTTACAAGCTTTTTTTACTGCTTAGACCTATGAATTTTGGGCATAAGGCTCAGATTTTATGATCAGTTCTCGCTGACTAAAGAATATAGTACTTTGATAAAGAAATTAAAATAAGGTTAGCTTTTATTATTTCGGTAATTCTAAATATTTTTTAAATTGGACTAGCCCAAGTTTTATTCAAAATCATCTAATGATTCGAAAAAGTTCATCAGATTGCTGACGAAGTTATCGAAAAGGAAACTGTATTTATCTGTATGTTAACTGTATGTTAATCAAGTTAAAATATCATTGCAACTGTCTAGACGACGTTCAGTCTAAGACTGATACTATTTTAGAGGAAATTTATATGCATTTTAAATAATAAATAATACAGATCATTCTTCTTTATTATCTTTATTATGTGTCATTTGCCAACGACAACTTCACCATTCGCCAACAATATATATCCCAAAACAATAAAATAAACTAAACAAGCATTAAAAAAAATTCGTGCTTTTTTTCTTATTAGTATTTCGTTTTTATTATTTAATTACTGCTATTTTTTTAATTCAAATTTGTAACTCCTAGAAAAGTTGCGGTTTACATTTCGGAAACTGAGATGTTACGCTGTATAGTATTTTAATAATTTATGTAACAAAATAGGGACATTTTAACTCAACTCTTCGTTGCTGCTTGTAGTTTCATTGCGTTGAGCAAAGTAATATATAAAGCATGAGCACACAAGAAAATCAAACTTATTAAAATTTTTTCTAATAAAAATCACATTCATATCAATGTACATTAATGGCCTTGGATGATTTAAAATGTATTAGAACAAAACTTACGCAAACCAGCATAAGCGACGAGTATTGTTAAAAAAAGAATAATTAATTCGCTATTATTATATTTACTATTAAATTAGTTTGTGTTTTATAAACTCCTATCAAGAATACGCTTATTATAACTTATTAAAATAGACTATTGATTTTCTAATTTTTATCTGACTTATTGTTTAAGTAATGTTATTCTTTATATGCAATTGCATGTAATTCAGGTTAACTGAATGCAGTATTATTCGGTTCGCGCGAATCAATTGAAGGTTTTTAACTTGTCGGTTTTATGCATATACATAATCATAAGTAAATTTATTTAAATAATGCAAATATTTTGAAATGCTATTATTAAATTGAATTCACAAGTATTTTACATATTTCTGAGCATTTAGTTTGAAATCTAAGGATATTTTATGAAAATGTTATCTGTTTAAAGATAGTACTACTGGAAAATTTTTACATGCTGCTTATTTATTTAGTGAAGAATGTTCGCGTCAGTTTGTCGTATGTCTAAACACTTTCTTGGCGATAAACGTAGAGGTCTAAAACAAGAAGAGCAACCCTCTTAAACTCCTACTGAGACTTGTCATTTAGAGATCTCCAGGGTTCCAGAAATAAGGTGGGCACTGAGACATCTGCACGGCCGCTTTAAGGCAATCATAACGCTTTCGAGGTCTTCACCACTGACCGCCTAGAACCGTCATAGCGCTTTCGAACACTTTTCCACTGACCGCCTAGAAGCGTCGGTAACGCTTTCGAGGTAGGTCTTCTTGACCGCCTAAACCCGGTCATAACGCTCAGAGGGTTAAAAAAGGAAGAAAGAGAGAAATTTAAAAAAAAAATAGTTAAAAATTTGAATAATATCATCTATAATTTTAAAAAATAGCTTTCATATAGTATTAATAAATATTTATTACGCATCATTGAGGGAAAAAATTTCATATAATTAATTCTCTGTAAAATTTTATTTGAATTTTAAGGTTAAAAATAGCTGTGGCAATTCACTGTAACAAAAATCCATAAACCACATTTGGCGTTATTATCGCTGAAAGAAAAGATGCCAAATTTCAAAACGCGAAAATATGTAAATTCGTGTATATGTTAGAAAATTCTGAATAAAAAAGTCTAATTTTTTGCAGATATGCTTAGAAATACACCTACTTTAAGATGATGGTAAAAATTTTATAGGTTATGTTACTATAAAAAAATTTTTTCGAAAAATTTGTAAAAATTATTAAAAATTAGAAATTTAAAAAATAAAACACAAAAAATGGGTAAATTTTATTTGGAATGAACGTAAATTTTGAAATGTGAAGGGAAAAATAAAAAAAGGTTAAAAAAAGAGATATTAATAAATATTTGCCAAATTCAATTAACATTGAGGAGCTAAAATTTTGAGAGCTAATATTTTAAAAACTACTCGTCTGATTTTTACAAAACTTGGCATTCTGGCATAATTTGAGTCGTGGAATCGAAATATGGAAAAAAATTGCTATGTTATTTCAGAAAAAGTCCGATTTTGTGTAAAAATACCTATGTTAAAATAGTGCTATATATAAATCTAATATATATCCTAAGTCGCGCTTTCGAGACATGAAAAACGCAGTTCGAATTTTGTCAGTCGGACCAGTAGAACAGGAGATATAACACTGTCCTTTTTTTTTTTTTTTTTTTTTTTTTTTTGAACAGTGTACATTTGCCATAGACCCTATTGTAAACTCCGCAGAGCAGATTGTTGTTCTTAAACCACGTGACTACTATTTTCCTCTTCTTCTCTTGCGGAATGTATCTCGTTTGATGTATAATTAATTACAAAGGGAACCTTGAGGTGAAAAAATATAATGTAAAAATTACTGGCAAAATGTATATCTTTTTCTTATTATTTTTTTGTGCGGGCTGAAATATAACTCTATATATGTTTACGTAATTTCAAGAATTTTTGTGTTTTATTTTTTGCCTGAATGTACTAAATTTTGTTCAGTGTTGTAATTTCATATTTTATAAGAAATTAGTTCTGGTTTGAAGATTAGTAAAACATTAGTTTCATCATACAGTTTAGAAGAAGATAACTGAAGAAATAGCATTTGGATCTTATAGGTCTACAGCTCTTTGCTACGGCAGCAGTTGTTGGACGTACGGTGAATGTTAATGTTGGATTTTTTTTAGCTGAGAATTGTGCAATTAATACGTAGTCTGTATCTATTAAATGCAGATATAGTCATAATATTGTTGACGGTAAAATTAAATCATAACTCAAGCCATGATTGTTACATTAAAAACTCTTCAGGAAGATACTTTTACCGTAGAAATCGACCCTTCCCAAACGGTAAAGAAATATGTTACTCATAATATCACATATTTTTGTAGTGCTAGTTATAAATTTCTGTTAATTTTTGAACATTTCATGTAATAATTGAAGATCAGTAATTGGAAAGCAATTTGGGATGCTTTCGAAATACTTTTATGAAGGCCTTTGTCTTTGCCTTTTTCTCTCGGAAGCGATAATTCTTCTGTCAATTTGCTATGAATGTATTTTTTTTTTTTTTTTAAGATAACATTTTTCTTAAACCTCTTTTCATATCTGTGGCCTTAACTATTTATTATAAGATGAAGAATTTAAGCATTTATTCGTTTGTAGTGGTTAAATGTTAATTAATAAAAATGAAATGTGTACGTTTTTGACAATAGTGGTGTAATTATATTTTAGTTTTTGGATTTAAATGTGGTGCTGTTAATGAGTTAACTGAAACGATAGTTGTTGTGGTTTTGAATATTAATATGCTTTTGTGTATTGGTGTATTCAACATCAGTTTTGAGTGATTGTTTTATGATTGTGTCAGTAGAAATTAGTACTCGAGTTTGAAATGTTGAGAATACCGATAATGACCATATTCAATTTAGCAGTGATCGGTTTAATTTCGAACGAGTTTAATTAAATTATGAAAATGACTCATTGTTCTTATTGATTTTATTAAATTTTGCAGAAATGGAATTAAAACATGAATTTCTGCTCTACAAATTTTAATATCCAGTATTTTTGAAAATAAATAGTTAAATGACTTTTCATCCTGTTTTAAATTTACTGCAGTTTAAAATAACTTTCTGTTAATTGAATTAAGACCTTTTATATAATGCATGAGAGTAATAAAAAATATTTTGCAGCAGAAAGATTGCTAACTGAAATGTATATGAAGCCATTCCAGTTTACATAAAATGTTTAAATTTTGCAGCCTAACTGCTTTATAAGGAATCTCGCCAAAAAATGAGTTGAGTTTCTTTCAAATGGGGGGTAGAAAAGAGAATCATGAAATTGTTTGCAATTAGTATTTCCATTTCTTGGTTTGTGGTAAGTTTATGGAAGTATAGTGCTTAACAACAGTACCACTTACCATTATAGTGCATAGCAACAGTAAGAATATATATGTAAAAAGAATTCAAATCAGTTTCCATTAGAAACACAGCTGAGTGGTAAATTTACTGAACTCTAGTAGTTCAACTTAGGTTTGATTCCAAATGAGTGGGCTGGTGGCAGAACAACTGTAAGAATATATATGTAATAAGAATTCAAATCAGTTACCCTTAGAAACACAGCTGAGCGGTAAATTTACTGAAATCTGGTAGTTCGACTTAGGTTTGATTCCAAGTGAGTGAGCTGGTGGCGTGGGTGTTTTCATAATTTTTCCCATGTGTAGCGGGGATACGACCCAGTTTTCCATAGAAAGTCCAGTAAAAGTTTACAATTGGGTGCCCCTTGTTTTTTAGCGATTCTTTTTTGACGTCAAGATCAGCGCTAGGAAGGCACAATTTCAAGATGGCCGCTACACAAAATCAAAATAAAAAGTCAAAGAATTGCACAAGCTTTGTGTCCATGTACACATCGATCTGTTTTCACTTTAAAAAATCCTAGAATTGCACAAACTAGGCATTGCGCTCTGCCTTAAATTTGTCCATGTACACATCAATCTATTTTCATTTAAATAAAATCAGGAAGTTAAAACTATCATGGTAACCAGAAGTGAGGTGTCATCGCCAAAATTTTCAAAAAATTGTTGCTTATCAAAAGGGGCACCCAATTCTACACTAGAGCCGAAAGTCCTTTATGCAGGCATCACTTCCGTTACGCAGATAGCCCTCGTGTGCATTGCTATGATAAAAAAAACACACACAACTAGAAACAGACCTTTAGAAATCCTCCATGGAGACATCTTTTTTCTTTAACTTCTTAAAATTTAAAATGCTGTACACTAAACATCATTTGAAGTGGATTATAAGGTAGATCCTGAAGTTTCCAGCCTTGCAATGAATTCCTCTAATTCCTGCAGACATAATGGCAGTATTAAATGAATAAATTTGAAAGCTTCTTTTAGAAATCAGAAATATTCTTTTTTATTATTAACTGAATAAAGAGATATGGTAGTTTGCTCTGAATTTTTGAGTAAAAAAGTTAGTAATCTTAAAGAAGTAAAGCAGTGATTAGATCATGTGTATATAGTGATTCATCTTGTTCCTATTATACGTCGTTATTATACAGTAAGAGAATGGGTAAAAAGTTTCACATGGGTTCAGAATCTGTAGGCTGATAACTTGAGGCAATGACATCTGGAAATATTAACTCCAGTCCAGGAGGAAATATTTAGTAACAAACGATTCAAAGTCAAGGAGATAGCGACAAGAGTGGATCTCTCTAAAACAACTGCTTTATGTATTTTACATAAGCATCTTCATATAATTAAAGTATCAGTGAAATTGGTACTCTGAGTTCTGTCATCAGTTCAAAAATAGCAGTGCGTGTTTAAGAAACTTGACCATCCTGCTTACAATCCTGATATGGCTGCAAGCGATTATCTGGTCTAAAAGAAAATTTAATCATCTATAGTTCATGGCCTATGTGAAATATTTTTGATGTGTTGTTAGTTTGTTGTGCTACTATAGCTGTTAAATTTTGAATGCTTGCTCGATACTGTTCTGTTATAAAAGTATATCAACAAAAGTAGGCAGAATTTTATTTATAATTTTTTTGGTTTACCATTTGGATCCGAAAATTACATTGCTTAGTTGAGCTTAACATTGTGTCAATAATCAAGAATGTGTTTATTGCTGGATTAATTGTCATTGCAATGGGTCAATGTGATACCATTTGAATTTCATTATCATCACACTTTTCTTAAGGTGCTGATTGTTTTTAAATAGGCAGTATTTTTAATTTTTATTTCTCATTTATTATCTAGGTACTTGTATGCTGTGTAGAATTTTTCACATTATTCATGGTGCCATCATTATAATGCATAACAACAATACCACTTATCTTGGCCTTACTTCAGCTAGTCACAGCTGATTTAGAGCTATTTTTGCTGTTTATCCTCAATCAGGAACTCATCATTTTGTTATTCTTATTGTTAGTTGAAGCTTTAAATTAACCAGTGGCGTAGCTAGGGTGGGGCAAAAGGGGACATCTGTCCCCGGGCGCAGCATCCAGGGGGTGCCAAATTGATGATACGAAATTTTAGAATGTTTTCCATTCGTGGCACACAGAGAGGGGTGCACAATCTTCAGCTGTCCCCGGGTGCTGAAAACTCTAGTTACACCTCTGAAATTAACATTATATTAGCATTATTCATTTTATATTGTGAATTTCTCTCCAGGATTATCTTTTAGTAAAAGATGACAGTGGATGAATAGGAAAAGTTTCCATGTTATATATTGTTCTCTTTGTTTGGGTGTTACTTTTATGTATGTATACTTTCTCAATTTGTTTTATCAAAGAGCAAAATATATGTAAAATGAGGCAAGAAAAAAAAAAAACATCAGAAAGGCACATATTTTTAATGTAATGCCTATATATGGCTGGTTTTTTTTTTTTCCCATAAATTTTCATGGAGGTAAGAAAGGAAGAAGGGGGTAAACCTGTTTTAAGAGTGAACCACTGCTCGGGCTCCAGATGGGATGTTTTTTATTTACATTCAGAAGCTCCCTTGACAGCGCTTTGATAGTATTTCGACGCACAACGGTTCCATACAAGTCGAAAAACTGGACGGTTGATCTTTCGATTATGGTAACTTGTCGATTTTTTGGCAAAAATTTGGCGACCAACTCTGCTACAGCAACCCTCTATTTTTTTTTTCGCCGCCATTTTGTCTTCACAAAGTAAAGACATGTTTCTTTTCATTTTATTTACTCAACACTTTTTCCAACAATCTACTAGCCGAATTACACTTATGCTAGAAATTTTATGTAACAAAACTGCTTAATCATGACAAATATTAACTGCAAAATTGGAAAAAGTGCACAATCGCAAACGCCTTGCGCGTTTTTCAGAATAGCACATACACATAAACCATTTACACGTCAACTTATTTTTACTTAAAAAAACATCCCAGAATTGCACAAAAATGGCATTGCACACATTCTTAACTTTATCCATCTACACTGCTATTTTCTCATAAATTACAAAAATTTGCACAAAAATGCAGGAAAATTTTCTGAATCTTTAAACTTGGTAAAAAGCACATATATGAAATTACCTGATCGCGAAAAAGTATATACCCTTTCCAAGGATGAAAATTTCCACGTATAAAATAAATAAAATATCCAAAACCTTTTACCTCTAAATTATCTATTATATTATAAACATTAGCAACGAATTTCTACCGCAAACATTAAAAATGGTTACAAATACTTAGTGTCAAATATTTAAATTATTTCCATGCACGTTTACTTCAACTGAAACGTATGCCAAATTACTACAAACATAAAATTCACAAAATAACTATCATTTAATTAAAATATTACAAAACCATGTACACGTCGACATATTTTTATTTAAAAAAAATCATCCCAGAATTGCAAAAAAATGGCATTGCGCACGTTCTTCACTATATCAATGTACACTGCTTTTTTCTCATAAATTAAAAAAATTTCACGAAAATGCATAAAAATACTCAACGTATACTACTCAAATGTATTCCAAAATACTACAAACATATAACTCACAAAATCATGATCATTAAATTAAAATATAATTAAATTAAAAAACACTACTTAAAATATAAATAAGCACATACATTAAATTAATAAAAATTAGATTACAATCCTAATTACTTAAACTAAATCATTGCTAAATAACAATTTTCCAATAATACCATATTAATTTATTTACTCCTTACATTTAAAACAATGCATAAAAATAATATCCTCAAATGATTAAAAATACTAACTTACCTAATCTTCTTCAGAATCTTCATTACGTGGCATGCACACTTCCCTACAGAAAGAGTTCCAGTCGGCTGCAGTACTACTGCTAATTTCTAAATCCGAAATCCAGTAGTC